CTTGTTGAAAACTTGTTCGCACATCTTCATAAAATTTCCTAATACAGTTAGATTGTGCAGAACCACTTTCACCCGGAACTTGTGCAGCGATTCTGGGCTTTTGATGAAACGGAACATCTGCACCTTCCTAAGTGTTGTGGTTTCTTGTCTCTGATCTGTGCCAAATGGGGAGTGCTTTGTTTCTGAGGTAATCAGGAAATCTACCGGAATCGTAACCGAGCAATTCCATACAATTTTCGGGCAAGGTGTGATAGCTTTTCAGGAATGAGTGTCCACTCTGTGATATTGCTAGCTTCTATTATTCTGTAGTGAAAGTACTCCACTGAAAGATAGCTATGACTTCGTGACCGATTAGGGAATTCAAATGCCACCAGCGGGAAATATAAAGAACCAGCAGGACCTCTTCGTTTTGTAGTGACTGCGAAAGTCCAGCCAAATGTGACATTCACATGGTAAAGTATGATAAAGGTGTGTCTGCCGTTCAAAACCCAAGCGGCTGCTTCAGCTCGCATTCTCATTTTCGGGAAACGGCGCTGTATCTCGCTAATTTTTGCAAAGTTGCTATGAGAACGGGATACATGCGGAGTATCTTCGAGAGCGAGTTTTGCAGGCTTGCTGACCATCGCACGGTATGTAATTAGTCCATCCGTAAAACAGGGAATTTCTTGGCAGCAGCTGTTTGAGAGTAAACGGTACGAGCTCGTGTACCAACAGCAGAGAATGATAAATGCCTTCCCTTCACAAGTGCATTCGTGAGAATTGATGCCAGACCGTTCTGGTCCATTCACTACAAGATTCAGCTTGTGGGCAGCAAAAACAGAAAGCAGGAAATCACCTCTCTTTAGTGTGGTCCTTGTTTCTGTCTTATGAGGTCTCTTATTTTTTATGAACACCAGTGTGCTTGCCCTCACAATCACGAGGCCCCATCAGATGATAACGCTATCATTTGTTTCATTGCGTAAACATAGGATTCATCGCTCAAACCTGGAGCTTGTGCCAGAAGGAGATATTCTACAACTGGTACTAAATACGGTAATGATGTCGTCCGCTTTCTCACTTTCCAGTGTTACCAGGGCGAGATTGAATGTAATGTGGCGGTTTTGAGGAGAAACCGTTCAAAGAAGGTACACAATTCATTCCTCTCCTATCATGGGATATCAAATCCACAAGTAGTGAGAAAGGTAGCTTTGAGCACATCCATACTCGAGCATATCGTATTTCATGTGACGTGCAAATGTTGCCACCATATCTCGCGCTGCTCTGGAACTGTAGTGGGCAGAAGTCGGCACTAGTTCTACTCGCTATTGCATGAGCAACAAGGGCAGCTGCTTTCAACAAGCCACTTTTTCCTTTACTATGGTACATGCAACTAACGTCGCAGATAACTGATAATAATTGATAGCAACATAATCGACACTGGAGCATCTATAGGCCCGCGCTTCTTTCTTAACACATAGTAGTTATAGTAGTCATACATAGTGGTATACATGCATACATAGTGGTCGTAAAAAATTCCCAAGAAGCACCACCGGTAGGGTTGATCCTGCCTGTAGATAGGTAGTTAGCCACGCTATCCTGGAGCGGAACAAGGGGCTTATTTCTTGGAGGCGGCCCCGAATCGCCTCCCATGTACTTCCCAGTCACTTGAATGCAAGCTTTTGGCTGTGCCGACATGCAGGATACCAACCACACGCAAGCATGCATGGATGCGCCTGAGTGGAGACAGCTGGTATGAATCAACACAGCACTACAGAAACAGGGAGTCCATCCCCTGAATCCACCTGCGTCTCAGGGCAAGTACATGGTGGCTTTTGGTCCGCGATTTACCCCCTATCCGCCACCTGGGGTCGCGCCACGTAGCCTCGCCACCAACCGGCTCGAGATCTTTCAGTGAGAGAGGACCCTCAGTGAAAGAGATCCGTGGAAATGGAAATGGAACGACAAAGGAGAAAAAACTGACAAAACCCTCGACAAGGCCGGGGAGCACCGATAGCCGGGGATATCGCACCTGACGCCTGTCGATCGGGCGAGCTGGGGATACCTTGATTTCGTAGCCGCGGTACGCAACACTATCTTTCATGCGCTCACTTTTTCTATGGCTGCGCATGAGAGTTTAAGGAATTGCGTGTTTGCGAGCTTAGCATCATGTGATGCTGCAAATGTGATGTGTACAACAAAGCTTAAAGCCCGTTCGAAGTAGCCGTAGTTTCCTATTCTATCGTATCCTATCTCACATGGGGTTACGCTTGTACAACCACTACCTACAGTCCACATCTCGCAGTCTGATTAGGCCGGTCTTACTTGGCGGCCGCCGCACTTGATAGAAGGACATAATCTTCTACTTCAGTTTCGCTCTAACATTTCACAGGTGAGGTTTTCGTTTCCATGAGTGGTGAACATCCGCGAACTTTTTTATTTTCAAAACGGTTGGAACGTTACGTACCGTGATTCAAATCGGGCTGCGTTTTTTGAATGGGTGAGTGTTTTGGTTTCATGACGAGTGTTTCTATGTTTCGACTCTTACTATCTCTCGTTTCTGTAGGTGTGCTTTTCCATAGTATGACATTTATGCAATTGAAAATACTGCTTGTTTTGAGGAATCTCCACTTCTATCTCAGGCCGCACCAACGTTCTACAAATAAGGTTTTCGCTTTTATGACTACTATACGCCCGCGAATCAGGAACGTGATTTACGTCGAGCGCATTTTTTGATCGGTGAGTCTTTTGATTTAATGACCAGTGACATGACAAGTGTGGATGTTCCGTTTGAGAATCGTTTAAGAATAGTTTTACTTCTCAGGATTACAATTTTCCGTGTCGGTTATCTCATTAACGCTTCTCAAGGAAGAGTTTGTTGATCTTATGAGTACTCCTCTTTGCAGATAGTCCTTTTTCAGGATTCGTTTTTTTTACTGAATCGGTATGCATGTTATGGAGGTTCCACCAAACAGGTGCGTACCGCTTTTACCCTGGGGGCGGAAGGCAAAAATCTGCCCCGAATTACACCTATGGACCGTCCTTGGAAGACTATTTCAAGCACGCTTTCTTCGATTTTTTGCAGGATTTCTTCATGCCACTCCTCGTGTTTCTTGTAAGGCGTTTTCTAGACCGCTCTCTCCTTTCTACTTTCCATTTTCTCTCTCCTACTCTTATTTTTTTACAGGCATGGTTGCACAAAACATTAAAGTTGAGAAAAGAACCTCTAAGAAGTCGATTATCATCACAATGAATTTTATTGGGGTTTTTTTTCACATTTTTATTTGTGACAGTGTGTAAACAATGTGAAGTATTATATTTGTGGCAGTTAGTATACACTGTAAAAAAAGAAGAAGAATAAAAATATACTTTAGCACTGTTTTGTTGGCATTTAGATGTGTGCGGGAGGGAGTGTCGTATCGAGACTCCGTTTTACGGAGGGGGTCGCTTGCTCTGTCTGCTCTTCATTCAGATGGAAGTGCCGGAGTTATACCGAAAATGTTCAGATCCGCGATGGCGCCGATTTGCTCTGAAGAAGGTTTTGCGTTCAGCTACTTCAACCACATAGTAGCCGGTTCAATGGCAAATTCCTGTTGATTGTGATTGTTGTTTTGTCAGAATCAAGATTTATTGTTTGGAAAATTTCATTGTTGTCCCCTCATTCGGTTCCAACTGAGCTGGTTATTAACTACGAATTTTTTAGATGCAATGCAAGAGAAAATATGAATGTTGTTCTCGAGAGGACCGGCAATATGCCAGTACGGGCGATCTTCCATTCTCAACGAACGATGATGCTGAACCGTTGATAAGTGTCAGCGACTCCATGACGGGCATCATTCTATTTCTCGAAGAATTTGAAGAATCTTGAATTTGAAGAATTTCTCATTTCGTGTATTTTGTAATTCCGCCATTTCGTCTGAATGTCTGTCTGATGTTGTATTATTTTGATCTCTCCGAAAACCAAAAAAGTGTGGTGTTCTATTTAGTTATTGAACTTTTCCCAATGAGAAAAGAATCCAGTATTCGTTGGAATCAATATCAAAGGTTTTGATAAAAAATTGGGATTTACGTTGTCTGTGTACAAGTATTACCTACAGGAGGTCGTATCAAATCGCCCATGGGGGGGTCGTAAAAAATTCCCAAGAAGTACCACCTGTAGAGTTGATCCTGCCTGGAGATCTTTCATACGCTTGTACGACTCGAGTCGAACCCCCTCCCATTAGTTCGTCTGCTATCTGGATATTCCATAAGGATCTCTTTTGAACTCTGCTGTCTATTACCGCACTTTCACCCTATTCATAAATTGTTGAATATTTCTATTGGGTTGACCCATAATTTCTGGCCGAATTTCAACACTTTGATTTTTCAAGTTTTTTCCTAAAGAACAATTGATCAAAAACATAACCACCATCATAATCACTGATATGCACCCATTTGCTAGGGAACGAATGGATGCATTCCTCCCAGAACGAGAGAAGCTGTGAGATGAAAAGCTCGAAGAGGTCGTTTTGGGGTGGTTGTATTTCCTCTCCTAGCTGCTGCTTCAGGGGACTGAGGAGGTGATAGTCAGGGTCAACCCTGCGTTGCGCAAAGAACAACGAGGGGGTCGTATTCAGTCGACCGAAAAGAGAGGA